CCAAGGAAAGGATAAATACAGTTTATACAGCCGAGACACTGACCGCAACACACACCCCCTTGAACTAGAGAGAAACAATAAACTTACAAGTACAAAGACGAAATAAACAAATAAAAAAATCTGAATAACAATGTCTCTCTAAGCAAAATTAAAGTTATTTACTATATCAAAAGTGTGCACAGACGTATAAATGTCACTGTAGTGGTGATGACAGCTCTGACACGGAAACACACCAGCTACTTGTAAATGCATCACACGGCTCATTTTGCAACTGGACAATGCAGGGTGTACACAATTGAAACAACCTCGTTTCAGAAACACCAACATCAACCATACCAAAACTAACCCCACGTACTGTAAGGTCAACTAATCATACATATGCCCAAATAACCAAACCTATATCCAACTATCCATACACATAACATAAGAACATAAGAATGGAGGAAACTGCAGCGGGCCTATTGGCCCATACTGGGCAGTCCCATTTACACCCAACCCCTATCGCTCTTATATCCATCCAACCTATGTTTGAAGTTATCCAGCGTATTAGAGTTAATGGTGATATTTGGTAACTTGTTCCACTCATCCACTACTCTATTTCCAAACCAATGTTTACCTATTTCGCGCCTAAATCTAATTTGTCTAATTTAAAATCATTGTTACGAGTTCGCTCCTGGTTGGATAGTTTGAGTACCTTTGTAATGTCACCTTTGTTCAGCCCTGACTTCTATTTATACATCTCTATCATATCGCCTCTCACTCTCGAGGGAGTGCTACCTGACCTAGCTCGGAGAAGGATGTGCCCTAAGACCAGAGGAAATGGCCTCCGTGGATCGTTGTGTTGTGGGGGAAGAGGGACGGTGTGTGGGGGAAGACGACCCCCTGCTAACCAGGACCCATAGTGTAAACCTGAGTAGCAAACTGACAATTGCCTTACACAAAACAGGGACAAAATCAGATTCACAACTGGCTAGCGAGTGGCGAGTGAGTATGTGTGTCCCTATCAGGTGGCAGTGCTCCACCAGCGGCCCGCGGCGAAGGAAGTGATAACCTGTAATTGTTGGTGAATTTACACCTGGGGGCACTCCACTCTGTGCCAAAGTCTAAAATTCATCTACAACTCTTATTCTCGAGTGGGAAAATCATCATAAACAGGAGATGACAACGTGTATTTGTTAACTCAGAGTGGGTCATTTTAAAGTGATTTAAGAGAACCCTGGTTTAAAATACCTTCTTGGTTCTGGAGATTACTCATATTTTATTTCCAGTTTTTGAGTCCCTAAAAGAATATAAATATAGTTCACACTTTTGCATTTTACGAACACACACACACACACACACACACACTTAAACCAATAATGACTTCTGAGACCGGTGGTGCAGCCGTCTGTCCATCCTTCATCACGTTCACACAACCTTTAGAAATAAATTAACAATAGCTGTTCTAGGTGTCCAGCAGCTACACAAATCCTACCACAAATAAATTCTAAAATCTCCAATAAAACTAATCATCTTGAGCCACCACATAACATTGTTCCCTTTAGTAGCGGGGAATTAGTGCCAGGATGGATATAATATGTCTCGACACCTTCCCCGCCACCAGCTTACAACACAACGTTAATCTGCCCACAGCACATCTACATATTGCATCTGTACGAGGCCGTCAACCATAGCTATTGTGTGACTAATGGATAATACTCTCCCTCCTGTATATATAGTGGAATCGGCCTTAATTTACCACTGTTAGTAAGCGACTGCTGTAACATAACTTTACTCGTTTTAACTAATTACTAAGTAAATCCTTAGGAGTGTGAGTGTGTGTGTGTGTGTGTGTGTGTGTGTGTGTGCGTGTTGGGCGGCGCCTGCGGTCCACTTCCACCACGGACTGACGTCACAATGCGGCCCACTCGCTAATGTTCACCTGTCACCTTTACAAGTAAACATGTCCCTTCTCCTCCACACACACACACACAGCTCGCCTGATTTAATTACTGTGGTGTAACCTTGTAAGAGGTAGCGCAGCCCTGGCTTCCCTCAGCTGCAGTCCTCCCCTAATGGTGACAAAACACCTCAGCCTGTCTAGTAACACTGATTCAGATGTATATATACAATAAAACATCTATACGTTCATAATGCATATGCCAGTTTCCATTGCTTTTAATATAGTGACCACACAATACCTAACTAACGAAGCCAAGTTGAAATGCCTCTATTGATCTCACCATCCACCTCCACATAAAAAAGTTGTCCCGTGCAAATAAGCTTTGACTCATGAACGACGACAGACCGACTTGAGAACTTATTTCCCACACCAGATAGAGAGGAAGAGTAGCTGCAGTTTACCAGGACACCATCTGTGGGGTCTGTACCCGACTAAGAGACAAACCTGGTCCACGGAGGCCGAGGGAGTGGAAAAGGTATACCCAACAATGGGAAGGTATTTGTCCCGTGAGGCCGGCGGTACGAGGAGGGACTGTCAACAAGGGGAGGAGTGTGACCAGCAGGAAGAAGAATTTACCCACGAAAAGATGAAATATGTTCACTGGGCCTAGCCCTAGAGGAAGAAGTTTGCCGAGAACAAGAAAACAAAGTTATTCACTTAGAAGATGAAGTTCTGTTCACAGAAGTCACTAAAATACATCAGCAATTTGCAGGTCGGGCCGAGAGAAGAGCCCCTTCCTATAAGCTAAAGAGAGAGCGGGGAAAATCACCCCATATGAGGAACGAGTTGACCAGAGGCAGTGTGGGAGGTGTGGCCACAAAAGGAAGGGCCGTGTCCATGAAGGCGGCAGGAAGGACCTAAGCGTGACTGGGTGAAAGAGGCAGGCAGGTCGGGGCAGCAATAAAGCCTTCCGCCAAACACTGGTATGACCCAGCCCGCTGGTGCCACTCACTCATAAGGAAGCACTGTTGGCCTCATCCCTGCTCCTCACACTGCCACCACTATTGTGCTACTACATTAACGCCCCTGAAGTCCCTCACACTCAACAATGGACTCCCTTATCACACAACTCTTCACTCTACTTAATATACTATCACAACCCAATGATAGAGGAGACCCTTGCACTCGTCCTCATTCATCAAGGTGCTTTACAACAGCTCGGGTAAGACAACCTCTTCCCCATAATTAACGTCACAAGTGTCTGACGAGCACCACCAACACGTCACCTACAGAACAAAGGGATGTAAATATTATGGTTAGGGAAGTTACCTGCGGGTAGGCTTCCGGGACCACGCACCTCTCAGGTTTACCGAGGTCAATTTAGCAGGATATCACGAGTATATGTGCACAGGTGTGGTAATTAACCCAACACCTCCGATGCTTCCTGCATGGTTAACAAGGTAGGCTACACCGGAGACGAAAGATCTAAACTGCATCACGCTTAACGAGGCTCACCTCCAATTAATACCCATCCGCTACCGGGAGATAAGACACTGATGTTTATTCACCTGTAATCGTCACACAGATTTACACTAGTTTAACATACACATAAAAACAACACAATGAAGTAAAACCAAGAATGACCCCTGAATGCCCTCCCTTAAAGGCTTATTTCAGACGGGTCCTTGTATACCAACACTTGTTCTACCCTAGGGAGCTACAGTAAGACTCACCACCTACCTCACGCCTGTACTGTACGCTCTCTCACTATCTTGGCTTGTCACCCTCCCACCCCTTCCTCTTTAGATCTACCAAAAAATGACTCCTTCCTCCGGCTCAATCAATACCTTGAACCACGCCTTTTGATGCACCGTAACTCTTAACAATCTCTTGATCTATCGTTAACTATATTTATCCCTGCCCCTTGATTAATCTCAAGTTCCTATTTAATTCTTACTCCGGAGATATCTTAATCCCCATTTAAACTTCTCCCTCTTGATCTACTGAACCTTGAAATATCGATTCATCTTCCCCTCTCTAAAACGCCATTTCCCCCTTTTATTAGTGCATGCCAGTACCTTTTCGGTCTAGTAATGAATAATAAATCTGGGTTCGATATTTCTTACCCAACTCCCTACAATACTTATTGAGACAACCGGTGCTACACTCACATCGGCCCAATAATCTGCCGACCACCACCTCTCCCCGCACGATGGCAAACTGATTTTATACTTGGTAATATTCAAAATAACGAGAATGTAAACTTTGGAGCTTAAACCAAAGTTAATTTATGTTTCTGTTTTATTTGTGGCTGGTTTACTTAGGTATCCTCTTCCCGGTCCAACAACATACTTCTAGTCTCCTTCCCACTTTCCCGGTCCACCAACATAATGGTCTACTCCCCACTCCCAGTCCACCAACGTACTGGTCTATTCCCCACTCTCCGGGTCCTCCTACGTACTGGTCTACTCCCCACTCCCAGTCCACCAACGTACTGGTCTATTCCCCACTCTCCGGGTCCTCCTACGTACTGGTCTACTCCCCACTCCCAGTCCACCAACGTACTGGTCTATTCCCCACTCTCCCTCCTACGTACTGGTCTACTCCCCACTCCCAGTCCACCAACGTACTGATCTATTCCCCACTCTCCCAGTCCAACACACGGGTCTACTACTCCCCACTCTCCCGGTCCATCAACACACTGGTCTACTCCCCACTATCCCGGTCCACTAACATACTGGTCTACTCCCCATTCTCCCGGTCCACCAACATTCTGGGTGCGTAACCTTAAAGAACTGCTAAACGAATTAAAGTTTCGAGAGACGTAGTATAAATTACATTAACTTCTCTACAAATATATCCATCTCTTATTCTCAGTCTCCCAGCGTTGAGATTTTCTTCACTCGTCCGCATCAAAACATAAAACGTAGTGTACAGTAATTCAAGACAGTCAATATTTGTCCAGCCACCCAGAAAACACGAAGGGAGGGGAAGTCAGTACACCTCTAGTAATTATAATACAAAGTGGTACACAAGTTCCTCACCTCGTGTTGTAGTGTTTGACTTGTGTAACTACGAGAACTACCGCATTGCCGTAAGAAAAAAAGGGGTCACTTACCTATTTTTCAGGATACGGAAAATTATTCCTTTCTCGGGTACTTCCTTCACGAAATATACGTATATAGAGCACTGTCTTTACCAAGTCATATATCCACACTTAAACAATAGCACAGGTGATGACAAATGTTTAAAGTACCCCTGCTGGCGCTCCGTCACACATCTCACGACTGAGTCTGGGGGATAACTGAGTAAAGCGGACGAAGAGACGCTTTAGCCTGGGCCTCAGGAGAGTGGCGAGGCAGCGGTGCGTCAGCTGGCGAAGCACGTGGTGACCGAGGGGGTACAAATGTCACGCGGGGGTACATCTAACACGCTGGAAAATTGAGCTGATATAGTTCCTGCAGTCGCTCTTTATCAATATTTTTGTTATCTACAGGATAATATAAAGATGAAATTTCATTACTTGTTTTTCTTTACACTAGACATAACTTAATTAATTTTAAAAAGTAATACCAGTTTCACCTCCAGTTCAGACTGCCTACACCATTTTTCTTCTGAAGGACTGGATGGCGTACCGTCATTTCCACGAGGTACACATCGTTTCTTATCGTACACACGCACTGCAGTTTGGTTCTCTATGTCAGCTTCTGGACTACGGTGTATGCAAGTTCATGTATCTTAATATAAATATAAAATGCAGTGGAGGGCGAGGCGTCGATATTAGTAGCAGGCGCAGTAGGGAGTAATCGTCCAGAACATCCATTTATGGTTTGTTTGCTTACGGTAATGCTAAGTTGTTGTATTGTCTGTGTTCATTAAATCAGTTTTCTTCAAAGGCTTTACGGGTGTGACTGGTGACGTCATCTCTTACGACCAACACGGGCAAAAGGTTTAGTTATTTTCGTATGAACTTCGTGGCGTAAGTGATAATGTAAGGTAGTGTGGCCTCCAGCAAGAGGTACTACAAGAAAGGATGACCTCTAACAATAACCGGTAATGTGGCCTCAACAGAGATATTGTGACCTCCAACAGGCCATGCATAGTAATAGAGAACAAGGTGTTGTGGTGTGGTGGTGTTTTTGAGGTTTCTTGCCATTTCGCCTTTCAGCTATTTCGGCCATGGTGTGGTGAGGGCTGGGGGGTAATGTGTAGTAGCCTCGACCCACAGCCACGTCACTCACCGCCGACATCTTTAGTAGTCACCCAACACTCAGACAGTAAAGTCACACCGGTCATTACTGTATACACCTGTGCCTACCTCGCCTCAACCACCTCATCAAATATATACCTAATCACTAAATGTTAATCCTAATCACTAAATGTTAATATCACATCCAAAAACTTTGACTTACGAAAAGCAGAAACATAAAATATTCAAAATAAATCAATTCCATTAACGAGAAAGACGAAGAAAACACAACTTCCGCAATCTCTCGGTAATTTTGGTCTATCTCCTTTCAGTTTCTCGCACCGCCAAGCAGACAATTTAATTTCGCATCTACACCACCTTACACCAGGTTTCTGCCGGACAACCACTTAAGTATGGTGTGCTTTATAACCCCAACCATCACATAATTACTTGCTGTGTGTGTGTGTGTGTGCGCGTTGACTTTGGTGCGGTGTTTGAGGTGGGATGAGGGGCAGGGTGAGGGAGGGTTAGAGTAAACACAGTTCATTGTCACACTCCCCACACCCACCTAGCTAGTGTCAACCTCCTACACGCCTCCCTCTCTCTCAACCTGTTACACGCCTCCCTCAACCTCCTACACGCTTCCGTTAACACACACACACACACACACACACACACACAATATGAACTAAATATTTTGTTTTTTACATAGATAAAATGTCATAACATTAAACACATAAGGAAGTTAAAAAATCAGTGGATTATCTGGGCTTAAGTCATTGAGGTTTGAGGACACATTATAATCTTGCTGATATACTAAGACACCTGTTAACTCGTTGATATATTACGACACATTAACTTCATGTAATAACTGACTCACCACAACACCAAGGGACCTCACCTGGACGTACGGCGTGGCAGGTGTGTGGGTGAAGGACAGTCAGGAGGGTATGAGGGGTCAGTCAGCTGGAGGGAGTACCTGCCTGGCCGGGTCTTACCAGCAACACAAACACTGTATTAAGACGCATGACTCACCAACTGTGTGTACCTGTCAAGGCCGCTCCTGCCACACACCTGCCTAGTCACAACAATGGGGGTGGCGGGCGGGCGGGGGCGTGTGCCATGTGAGGGAAGGGTGGAGGGCTTGGTGGTGGTGTGGGGGGGGGAGGTAGTGGTGTGGTGGGGGTGGTAGTGGAGAGGAGGGTGTGGGGAGGTAGTGGATGGTGTGGGTGTTTGGAAGGTGGTAATGATGTGGATGGTGTGGTAATGATGTGGAAGGTGGTAATAATGTGGATGGTGAGAGTGTGGGAAGGTGGTAATGATGTGGATGGTGATGGTGGGGTAAGTGGTAATGATGTGGATGGTGATGGTGGGGTAAGTGGTATTGATGTGGATGGGGGTATAGGAAATATTGAGTATGTAAATAGTGTGAGGAAGGCTAAGCTTAATATGGATGATGATGTAAAGGGAAGGTTGATGGTGAAGGGGATGATAGTGAGGAAAAACGTGTGGTGGTAAGGGAGAAGAACCAGGCCATGGGGGGAGGGGGTGGATGGTGGTAGTGGAGGATTAACATCACACAAAGGCTGGACGGAAGCACGCGTCTCACCACCAGCAAGAACTCCTGTTGTATGATGAGAAACATAAGAGGTCTCCCTAGTGCCTGGGTGTGGTAGTACGAGACTCGGGGTGTTCTTAAAAACATGAATTTGCATATACATAAAACATAAGAGGAAATGGTAAATATCCTGAATTAAGTATCAAGGGAAGAGGGTAAATAAGAGCGACACACACACACACACACACACACACACAGTTTTTCCTGGTACCGAGGAGAAAGATGAGGGGAGGCTCACAAAAACACTGACGCGATGTCTCTCTGTCTGTCTGTCTGGTTAAACACAGTACAAGGAGGATAATAAGTGGGTGACCCGGAGCAGGAAATCATGGGCATCGAGCCACAACTGACGGAAAGAACTCACCAGGGAACTCCACTCACACCCAGGGTAAAAACTGTACACACACATACACACCTCCCCTCCCTCACACACACACTTCCACCACACGCACACCTACCCTTCCACACACACACAACACCTTCCCCACACACACACACCTCCCCACACACAACACACACCTCCCCACACAACACCCTCCCCCCCCCACCACAAAAATAACCACGTTTGATTCCCCTAAATAAAGTAAAAAATTTCAAAACTCGTAATCCCACAAAACCTCAGAATAACTTATCTTTACTTTCAATAACATTCTCTTAACTATTAATCTTCCTCCTTATCAACCTCAAGGACTAGAGAGTGAAATAATGCTCCCCCAGCCTGACCTACATTATATAATACAGATGACAAAGATTCAGTCATGTAGGAGATGACGGCACAGACAGACAGACAGACAGACAGACAGAGACAGACGGGTGGGCGGACGGACTCCATAGTCAAACAAAGTAGACTAACACACACACACACACACACACACACACACACACACACACAATCAGCTGGAAGACGTCTTATACTGAGGAGAGATGAGTCGGGTCCTGAGATCTTCAGTAGAGGTCACCAAGATTCACACGGGGTCACGCTACCAGTTCACCACTTCACTTCCCCCCACACCACCAAGCTCCTCTCCCGTCACTACCTGCACGTCACCTACCTATCACCTTTACTTCATATTGTAGGTTCAATTTCTTCGTCTACTTTTTAATATTTTATGATTCGTTTCACTTAACTGTCATCGCGTAAGCTCTGATTATTAACCTGTAATAAAGGAAGATTGGTGGTTTGTCTAGCTGGCGAGGTGGTGTGTGTGTGTGTGTGTGTGTGTGTGTGTGTGTGTAATCTCTCACGGAACTCTATTGTATAACCAGTGTATAATATTTTTCAACCATATTATCATTAATAGAAATGGTACTTACCTGTAATAGAATAACCTTAAGTCATTATCACAAAAACTCCTTCAGGTTTTCATTATCAGTTAAGTTGTTAATAATCTGTAACGCATCAAGCGAATCATCACCAAATAGGGTTAAAGGCAATCTCTTCTATGTACGTATTGAGGTCACATCAAAACACCACGACCTTTCCTACCAATAGTTACATCACATTAAAGAAAGATTTGCGATATTTGGTGCAGACAATCATCATCCACACTGGGAGAAGTACCGGCTATACTTCTCATCAAGCCCTGAGAGTGAGGGAGGGATACCCAAAAGGTCATCATCCAGTATGTTGTCTGGATAACCCTCACCACAGACAGGTCGCCCCGCCTCCAGGGTTCTCTGTATCACTACAATAAACAGGTTCATGGATAAAACCCCATCGGCAGAATATGACCAAAAAAAAAATCCCATTAGCTATAATAATTTCCACACGAGGTAATAATTTCCATTGTTTGGGTTAAGTGAGGTTATTGCCTACAAGGTATATAGCAAGAGGTGACCAAGTACACGTCCTGCCCTCACAGGTGTGCAGTGGGACATATCTTCACACAAAGAGACCGACGATGCCCTTCCCATTAACCCTCACGTGGTATACGGTTCTCCACACAATATAATCCCAAGGTGTATAGCGGTTTGTGGGTGAGAGACACACACACGCATATCAACACAGCTCCTCAAATGGCAAAGTGAAGCGAGACTGAGTGAGTGAGTGAGTGAGTGACTGTCTGTGTGTGTGTGTGTGTGTGAGTGTGTGTGTGTGTGTGTGTGTGTGTGTGAGCCATAATAAACAAAAACATCCACCATGACTTACAAACACACTCACATAACAGTGCACCAACATTCAACAAGGTGCATCGATAAATATCAAGATTACAACGAGAGGTCATGCAGGAGCAGCCACAACAACATCAACATGGAAGTAAGAGTCATGCAGGAGGTAACACAACATAACACCGGTATTGGAGTACCATTATGGGTGAAGGGCGGGATTATAATGAGGTGTGTGTGTGTGTGTGTGGTGGAGGCTGACAACTTCCGTGTGTGTGTCTCTCAGCTTCACGACTCACCCTTCCTTGCCCTCTATAACACACACAAGTACTCGTCCTGACCAAGCCAATCCCTGATAGGACAAGTAGAGAAAATATCGAGACAATTCAAAGAAGAGGATTAGCCTTCTGAAGTACTTAACGAACTGAC